GGTTTTTGTGCACTGTGCTTTTATCCTTCAACCTTTTATTTATTAATTCTAGTAAGTTTCAGGGAATTCTTTTCAGATTTTCTACATACAAGATCATGTTATCTGCAAATAATTTTTCCCCCCAATCTGGATGACTTTTATTTCATTTTATTGCTTAACTGCCCAAGTTAGAACTTCCAGGACAATAGTAAATAAAAATTGCAAAACCAGGTATCCTCCTCTTATTCCTGCTCATATAGAGGAAAAGCACTTAGTCTTTGATCATTAAACATAATGTTAACTGTGTGTTTTCCATAGATCTCCTTTATCAGATTGAGGAACTTCAGTTCTATTCCTAATTTGTTGAGTGTTTTCATCATAAAGGTGTTGATTTTGTCAAATGATTTTTCTGTGTCTATTGGCTTTGTCTTTTATTCTGTTGATATGGAATACTACATTGATTTTTGGATTTTCAAACAAAGTTGTATTCTTGATCACGGTAGAAAATAATTTTTATACATTGCTGGATTTGGCTTGCTAATCTTTTGTTGAAAAATTTATAACAATATTCATCAACCATAGTGGTCTGTAGCTTTCTTTTTTTGTGAGGTCTCTGGCTTGATTATCAGGATACCGGCCTCATAGAATGAAATGGTTAATCCCATCTCTTCCATTTTTTGAAAGAGGTGGAAAAGAACTTGGTATTAATTCTACTCCAAATGGTAGAATTCACCAGTGAAGCAACCTGGACCCTAGGCTTTTCTTTGTGGGTAGTCTTGTAAATTCAATTTCTTTGCTTGTTCTAGATCTATTCAGATTTTCCATTTCTTTTCTAATTACCATTTTAATCTACAAGCGACCTGGCAACCTTACAATGGCACACCCAATTACTGAAGCTCTAGATTTACTCACCTAAACAATTTCTGTATTGCTGACAGGATGATACGTGACTTTGAGTAATTTGGTATGGTCTTAAAGAACCAAGTTTAAACTCAGCTTATCTACTGAATTTCCTCATCTCCTACTTCAGGGCTGGAGAAAGTCAGGCCGCGGGCCACATAAGACCCACAAAATCATTTGTCTGGCCCTGTCAAGGCAACCACAGTTCCAGCCATCACATTAGGGGTGAGTTAATTAAATGTCTGACCAAGTATAGCAGACTAATTTTTAACTTGATAATTTTGTACAGCCCACAATGATGTTATAAATTTTGGCAGCAAAAAAGGTTCCCCACCCCTGTCCTACTTAGATGAATTATGTTGCTGTTGTTGTTAAGTGCCGTTGAGTCGGTTCCAACCCATAGCAACCCTATACAGGGTTTCCAAGGAGTGACTGGTGAGCTTGAACCACTGACCTTGCAGTTCAAACGGCTTTGAATTATAGGTTGCTATTATTTTCCCTGTATCTCCTTGTGAGCAACTGTGGTAGGAAATAAGTTGAGCAACAAAATCTTGTATACTCTGGTGTTAAGGAAACAGGAGAAAAGAGAAGAAAAGATTTTATATATACCTTGAAATATTTGAGGAATTGCTCTGCACACTTTCCTGTCTGCTCCTTGTCTTCCTTGTACAGTACATCTTTCACACACACACAACACTTGCATTTGCAAGTTTTCAAAAGGTATAGTATTTGTCACCTTCTTATATGCTCAAAACAATAAGACCACACTGCGGAGTCAGACCCATGACCTGTGTGACATTGACACATTTTTAATCCTTTCTGTATGTTAGTTTTCTGACCTGTCAAGAAGGGACAATAACAATATCTACCCTATAGCAATACATGTAAGAAATGCCAGTGTCTGATATCAGAGTAAACTATCTCACTGACAAAACATGTCTGATGTTACCGGCTAAGATAGTTTCAGGTTTGGGAGTTTTAGAAAGGAGTATACATCCCATACTCTCTGCACTGAATATAAGCTCCAAGAACAGAAATGATATAGGGGGACATATAAAGATATTGTCTCCATTTTCCAGGAAGACGTCAACCTGACAAAGAAAATGGAATGGGGGCAGGTAGAGCATCATAGTATAAAAGCACAACCACTGGAATGGGGTATACCTGGGTTCAAAATCGGCTCCACCTTACACTACCTGTGACTTTGAGCAAGATGCTTACTGTCTTCAAAACTCTGTCGTTATTGTTAAGTGCCACCAAGTTGGTTCCAACTCAACGACTCTATAGGATTTCTGAGGAGCAGCTGGTGGGTTTGAACCTCCGACCTTGTGGTTAGCAATCTAGTGCTTATCCAACAGCACCACAACTGCTTACTCATAAATTAAAAAAATTTAAAAAAAAGATTTTAAGGAGTTTTGATGAGGATAAAGACAATATAGGTAAAGTACCTAACCAATAACCAGAAAAGCAAAGCCATCCATGCCTGTTGAGTCAATTCCGATTCATAGCAAGCCCATAAATAGACTAGATCTGCCCCGTGGAGTTTCTAAGACTATAAATCTTCACGGAAGCAGAATGCCTCATATTCCTCCCAGGGAGCACAGCTGGTTAATTTGAACCACTGAAACATGGGTTCTCAATGTTGGTTGTACATGTGAACTTCTATACACATGAATTTAATAAGGAAGGTTACACCACTGCCAAACACCACCTTTAGGCCAGACTGACCTATAAAATAACAACCACCCAGGAGGAATGTGCTCCTTACAACAATCAATTATAAGAGACCAGAAAGGGCAACACCTACCCAAAAGCAAGGATGAGAAGGTAAGGAAGGGCAGGGGAACAAAACAAATGGAAACAGGGAGCCCAGGGTAAAAATGGGGAGTGCTGACATATTATAGGGAACGCCACAATGTCATGGAATAATCTGTGTATGAACTATTAAGCAGAAAAGCAATGTGCTATGTAAACTTTCATTTCAAGCACAATAAGATGTTCAGAAAAATAAAATCAATTGACAATAAATATAAAAGTTTATGTTTCTCAAAAAAAGAAAACAGTAAGGTGACTAGACTACACCATAGACTGACTAAATCAGAGTATCAGGGAGTCATCAATATTTTTTAAAGATCTCCAGTTAATTCCAATGTGCAGTTGGACTTGAGAACCAACAAAGCAGCCCCCATTTTTAACATCTGAAACTATTTTTTTTATTAACATCTATGGGTACTCCCCATATTAAAATAAACCCCGATCTGCTCTCTCAAATCAGAATCACTATTATCTGAAGGCAAAACAAGCTCAGAGAGATTGAACAATTTGTTTCTAGTCCCAGAGAGCCAGGTCTAAATCTCTAGTTAGTTCCCTAAAGCTCATGCCACTAGAAATTCAGATGCGTTTCTAACAACCACAATTTCCTCAGCATGACTTCAAAATCTAGTTATGACACATCCTTCATTTAAAACTTTTCACATACTTACGCCCTTACAAAACAGCCAGACTCCTTAAGAGGAACATGACCCTTCAGAACCAGGTCTCAAAATGTGCATGGTGAGGATGAGTCACATACATTCAGATTGTGCTGGTGCTGGTATAAACAGCCAAGCCACCAACCACCCAAGGAAACACAGCTTGCTAGTGTGCACCAGAGGGAACAGTGTTAACACTAAAGAATGCAAAGAGAATAATGAACCCTGGACTGTTGGCCCTGCTTTGCTTTTCTTTCTAGCCTCAGTTGCCTCCCATTCTCCTTTAGATCCTTCACCTTCATTATCTCCTCCCTCATCTTACACTTAGCATGCTTTTCTCTCTGCATAGGAACAGGTAGCTCCTCATCCTGCAGATCTCAACATAAATACTGTCTCCTGGAGGAAGCCTTCCCCAGCCACCACCACCCTCGCCACTACCCCACTCTGGATGAGATGCTCCTGCGATGTCCTCAGAGTACCCCATAGTTTCCCCTTATGAATTTTCAAACATCAATGCGAATGAGTGCAAGGACCACATACATTCGTCTTGCTTACTGTTTAATTCCCAGGACCTGACCCAGAAAGAAAATACAGTAAGCCACTCTGAAACTGACCCGACAGCATAGGGTTCAGTCTCTTAATTCAGGTTTCAGTTTCTGCCTCCTCTAAGGTGAAGCTCGGGGAAAATGCTAAGAACCAGTGAATCTGGATGTTGTATCTAAGGCACACTCTACTATTGTAATTTCTTTTTTTCTCAAGTTTGAAGTTTTTCATAATAAACTTTTGGGGGAACATTTAAAGTAAACTGTCTCTATTTCTAATCCTGCTTTCACTGCTAAATACTGTTTACCTACAAGATACTAACAACCACCTAGCCTATTATAATCATTTTCCCACCACCTGGTGGTAGTATCATATTCTCTGGACTGAATAGGACAGAGAAAATGCTAAAGAATCCTATAAACAGTTGTCATAAAGTCAACTCTAATTCACAGCAACCCTATTCACATCAGAGTAGAAATGTGCTCCACAGGTTTTCAATGCTGATTTTCCAGACAATCACCAGGTCTTTCTATTGAGGCACCTCTGGGTGGACATAAACTCCTAACCTTTATGTTAGCAGCTGAACGCATTAACTGCACCACCTAGGCACTCCGAAAGAATCCAAAAGGACAGCTAATAAGAAGTCTCTACAAATATCCAGATACTGTTTTAATGAATTGCTGGGATTTTACCAATTTCCAAGAAAAGGAAGAAGAAAAGGATGCTGGAGAGGGTGAGCAAGCAGAAGAAAGCACAGCTGTGATCTATTGGAAGTCAGGGGCCAGCTCAGCTATAGACACTCAGCTTGCTCTGGTGCTGGCCACGTACCCAGATCACCAACCAGTCAAGCAGCTACTGCTCAAGCTCACTGTTCACGCGAAAGAAAAGCCACATTCATGAACGCTATTCACAAAGGACTGTGCACTCACAAACAGTTCTCCCTAGAAAAAGCACCGACAAGGACATTATCTTTTGAAGTTCAATAGATGAAGACAATGGGACCAAACCCCTCACTTTTCTGTCCCCTCTGTTCCCTCCAGGACAACACGCCTGAGGTAAAGACTATGCTGTCAGAGCAGCTAACCTAGGCGCTGACACTTGCATTACCTCTTGCTGCTTCTCCTCATTGGGGTAGGTGTCTACAAATACTCCCAGCCCCACAAATTTGTCCATGTTTCCAAACACAGGCCCTAGAGAGAGAGAACAGATGATGAACAATGAAATCAAGCCAAGAGTTGATAAAGGAATAATATATCACCATGACGGAGAAAAAAGCACAATTCAAATGACTCCCGGGCCTCTCTTAAGATGAGAAAATATATGTAAAAGCACCCAGAAAAGTGCATGGCCTGTAACCAGCAACCAGTAAAATATCTGTAGTTGTTTGTTATTGAAGGTGAGGGAGAGAATGCCACTGCAACCTTGGTTAGTGCCATAGCAGTTCCTTAATCCAAACTGGTTGCTAAGGTGCCCCTACAGAATTTTGTTTCACAAACACTTGGTTAAGACTTGGCCCCCAAGAGAGAACTGAATTCCCAAGGTCTACTTCTTGTTGCAAAAGAGATCAGGTCACATCAGGCTGAACCCGCTACCAACTTAACCATGGCTCCAGCACAACAAAAGAAAATGGATTGCGAGGTTTTTGACTCAGCAGTGCTGAAATCTTGCACTGCACATGCCCAGAAGAAATCCACTCCCTCAACCCTCGGTGTTCCAGAGAGAGAATATTTTCAGCCAGCTAAGAGGCCAGGTGTTTCACAGGGACATCTGGAAAGAATTAACAAGCAAGAAACCTCTCCAGGATGAGTTAAGCTTACCTGCTTGTGAGGACTCAAGACCCCATTCTGGGACCTAGACAGGCCAGTCTTCATCTACACGCAGCAAGGGAGCAGGAAGGGGAAGTTGCTGGCATGGTGGAGAAGTACCCTTCTCAAAAAGAGGGCACATAAAAAAGCAGGCCGTCATACCCACGCACAAGAGTAACCCGGGGTCCCACTACCTGGCTGCATCCGATCCTTTGTGTACCAGATTGCCAAGCCATCACCATGCAGGTTCTTCTTCCCTTGACCATGGATTTTGAAGTGCACCTGCAACTCCCAGTCTCTCAAGAAACATGGCTGTAATAAAAAAAAAAAAAAAAGACATTGGAATCAGTGAACAGAATGAACTGCTAAACCCCAAAAGCTCCCATCAGCAATCTACAAACTTGGAAAACATAAATGCACTTAAGCCCAGGCTAAGGGTTAGAACCACAATCTAAGACTGGCTAAGTAAAATTAAATAGAGTGAACCACTTAACCGTATGAGAGAGGTTTACTGTGCAAAGTGAATTGACTTCCCAGTTATCTTTAACATCTCCCAACAGAGAAACAGTATAGCATGCCCAAGTTGAAAAAGGCAGATGTATGGTAAGTTAGGAGTTCTGGTGTGGCGCTGTGGGTTAATGTGTCAGACTGCAAAGCCATTTGAACTGCAAGGTCAGCGGTTCAACCTCACGGGCTGCTCCTCGGAAACCCTATACAGGGTCGCTATAGGTCGGAACCGACTCGACGGCGCTTAACAACAACAACAATGCTAAATTAGATTACTGTTATTCTGTAGTCACCCAGCTAAATATATCAGTCTGTACAGAGATAGCATGTTGTAGCTGGTTCTTATAGCGACCCTGTACAGGGTTTCCAAGGAGCAGCTGGGGGATTTGAACCGCCAACTTTGTAGTTAGCAGTCCAGTATTTATTGTTGTTGTTGTTGTTGTTAAGTGCCTTAAAGTCCATTCCAAATCACAGTAACCCTGTATAGGGTTTCTAAGGAGCGGCTGGTGAGCTCAAACCACCAACCCTGTAGTTCAAACCGACCTTGCCATCCAGTGCTTTCTCTTACAGTGCTACACCAGAACTCCTCAGTGCTTATAGGTAGCTAAATTAATATTCACGTTAAACTTAGCATCAACCCTCATTAACAGAAAGACTCTAAAAAGCTTGGATTTCAAGGTCAATGCCTCATTTATTACAAAGACTAAGAAAAGCTAGGTCATTATGCAAAGGTTTCCAGGAATAATTAGTAGCTGCTGTGTTGTTAGTGGAGTTCTGGTGTGGCGCTGTGAGTTAATAATGCGCTGTACTGCAAGGTTGGTTTGAATCGCAAGGTTCAAGTTCACCAGCTGCTCCTCAGAAACCTTATACATGATTGCTATGAGTCGGAACCAACTCGACAGCACGTAACAACAACGTTGTTATTAGGAGCTCTGGTAGCGTAGTGGTTACGAGTCAGGCTGCTAATCTCACTGTCAGTAGTTCAAAATAACCAGCGGTTCTGTGGGAGAAAGATGAGGCTTTCTGCTCCCACAAAGATTTACAGCCTCAGAAATCCTATACAGGGTCGCTATGAGTCAGAACCGACTCTACCACACATAACCACCACCACCATGTTGCTTTTGTTTGGTACCTTCTAATCAACTCCCACACAAAAGGATCCTGCATAGGGTTTTCAAGAAGCAGCTTCAGATACCCTATACAGGATTGTTATCAGCCGGAATTGACTTCAAGGCGCTTAGTAACAACAACAACATAGCACCTGCTTATTATTCCTGGAAACCTTTGCATAATGACTTAGCTTTTCTTAGTCTTTTATAATGAACAAAGCTTAAACAATTCTAATTAGCTAGACTTGGCCCTCTGTCAATTGAGGGGCAGCCAGAGTTCGTAAGAGGTGGTGTAAGTTACAAGCCCTCAAGCCCTTGGCCAAGAAGCACAAATGTACCAGAGAACACTATCCCCACCATGGGAACAGCCTCTGATGGGAAACATGAAAGAAGTAGTAGGTTCTCATCAGACACCAGTCTGTTTTTTGTTTTGTGAATTATATTAAAAAATTAAAACCCTAGAAAAAGAGAAGAGGAGGCAAGTGGATAGTTCAGTGCTCTAAATTGTTTCAGGGAAAAAGCAGAGTGGTATTAGGCTTAGTGAGGCTCCTGGTTACAGCAGTTCACAGTGAAGACAGGAGAGAAGGAGAAGCTGGTAAGCCAGATGGGTTCAGCCAGAGGCTCTCCAAATATCTTGAGCAATATATCGCTAGATAATTTTCAGTTTTTGCTTTTCTGGGATACTTCTCCAAAAGTGTTGGTATTAGGAGAACACAGTCAAAATGAAAGGGGGTGGGGGTACTTTTCTACATTCAGCAAGGAAGCCTGAAATATGCAATCACTTACCCTACTCGGATGAGCCCAGAATCTTTCTTGTTGTTTTAGATTCTCATCTGTCTGTTGTTTCATTTAGATTTCAGAACAAGAGTGAAATTCAGTGGCAGGAAGCTGCCCCACAGCCAGTGGGTAGGTATTATGTCCCTGGGAAAAGGGCAGGGCCAATGTTCACACTGAGCCAAGAGGAGTCTGCCATTTATTCTTGGCTTCAAATGCGCTACAGTGTTGCTGATGACTATGTCTACCAGAATAGAGAAGACCATAGAATTGGTGCACTGAAATTACAGTGTTGCAGAACACTAAAAGTGCCATGGACTGCCAAAAGAACAAACAAATCTGTGTTGGAAGAAGTACAGCCATAATACTCTTTGGAAGCCAGGATGGCCAGACGTTATCTCTCGTACTTTGGACATATTGTTAGGAGGGACCAGTCACTGGCGAAGGATATCATGCTTGGTAAAGGGTTGGAGAAAAAGAGGAAGACCCCCAGTGAGATGGACGGACACAATGGCAGCAACGATAGGCTCAGAAGTAGCAACAATTGTGAGGTTGGCCCAGGACCGGGCTGTGTTTCCTTCTGTTGTACGTAAGGTCATTATGAGTCAGTACCGACTTGATGGCACCTAACAACAACGTCTAACTATGGTTCTGAAACTGCAGCATGTTAGAATCATCTGAGAGCATTTAAAATTCCCATTACCTGAGTTGCACCCTATCATGGACTTAATTATGTCCCCCCAAAATATGTGTTATAAATCCTAACCCCTACACCTGTGGCTATAGTCTCATTAGGAAATGGTTTTATTATGTTAATAAGGGAGTACACCCACTCCTCACTCACATGGTTGGGTTCCAAAGACCGAGTCTTTATGTGAAAATTGGTGTTATGTGAAAATGGAGAAGGACCACATCAGATCACACAGTGGAGAATGACTACATCATTACACAACTGCCAAACTACTGCGAACCATGGCTCAGCCAAGCTGACACATAAACTTACCCATCACAGCTTCATACCGTACCTCACCATTTGTTACAGCCACATATACATTGTTAATGCACAGAATACTTAAGAGTAGAGTTTTTTCTACTGTCAGATAATAAGATAACCGATAAGTGAGGAATGGGTGTTTAAGTGTAGGGTGTATATTGAGTCAATATTTTTTGAGACATAAAAAGAACAGGTTAGTGGGAATACACGCTCTGATTGATGACCACGTTCATCACCGATAAGGGGAAGTGAGGGAAAAACAGCAATGAAGCAGTGAGCTAACCCCTATAATGCTCAATAGACTCCTGTGAACCCTGATGGAGGCCTGGTTGGCCAGCAGTGTGGCAAGACCTGGGGACTCTTGAGCCCAGAGTCTGTGACATAGCCACAGAGGACTAGAGTGGCGAGTGAAGCATCCAACTGATAAGAAGAGAGGGCATATGCACAAGAACATCCACACTTGCAGATAATACCCACTTGACCTGACTTCAATGACTGGATGATCAGAGCTCAACTAGAAGAAGAAAGAAGAGAAAAAAAAGAGTAATCTGATACAATTTGATGAACTTGACCTACACCTATGGATGCAGTAGCTCAAAAGAGGGAACAAATCTTTACAGTGGGGATCATTCACACCCCCTCCATACACACAGTAGACAGGGATGGGCAACTTGGACATTGGCTACCCAAAGTGGGGGGCAACAAAGGCAAGAAGTGACTGGCTTACAAGCATTCAAGAGGGAACCTAGATCCAGAGGGCATGGAGCACGGTAGAATCTCCACTGAGTAGTATCCAATCTGTCTAGGCCAGGCTGATGAAAGGAAATGCAGATAGGTCTCTTGTGATACAGTTGTTGTTGTTATGTGCCGTGGAGTCGGTTCCGACTCATAGCGACCCTGTACAGGGTTTCCGAGGCTGTAAATCTTTACGGGAGCAGAAAGCCTCATCTTTCTCCCGCGGAACAGCTGGTAGTTTCGAACTGCTGACCTTGCGGCTCGCAGCCCGATTAGTACCACTACGCTACCAGAGCTCCTTTGTGATACAGTAGTGAATAATAATTATCAGAACTGATTGTGAGGGTTGGAAATGTAAAGGTAGACATTTTGTAGTAAGGAGGGGAGTGATTAACTTTGCAGTCTAGGAGCGGAGGTCCCTGGGACCATCAAGAGAGAAGAGCGGAGAACGGGACCCTACCCAGAGAAGCAATAACACCAGAGATGGAGACAGAGACGATGACATGGAGAAATGGAGCAGCTGGGGAGTTTAGACCCAGAGAGGGAGAGAGGCTGTGTGCTGATGACCGGAGGGCAGGCTTGTATATACCCTTTGGTTGGTTGATGATGCATAGAGGGGATTGTTAACCATGGCAATGAAATGATATATACAATAGGATGAGTGTAAAACTAATGTTCTCCCATGTAAACTATCACATAATTCACAAAAAAACATTAAAAAAAACAGGTTAGGCACAGAAAGGAAAGTAAAAATGGGGAGAGATTCCAAGCCGCATGAAGATCACACAGGAGAGGAAGCTCAAAATAGACAAGACCTTCCTCCAGAGAGAAAGCCTTCCTAAACTATGAGGAAAAAACTGTGTTTGTTAAAAACCATCCATTTTAATATCTATAGTAGTACTAAATAACTAATACATGCCCCATTCCAATTAAATCCGAATCTCTGGGAGTTGGGACCCAGGCATTGATTCCACCAGATAGCTAAGTTTAAGAACCACGGTCCTAACAAATGCACTTCATTCCAATAACCTGGAAACAACAAAGGATACAGGAATCAAAGAATCAGAAAATGAGATCCCAGACTTGATATACCACTAAAAGAACTAGGAACAGACAGTTAGCAAGACAGAGCAAGGTATCAAGCCTTGGACATAACCACCTAATAACCCCTAAGACTCCCACCAGGGACTCTTACAATAGATCTGATATAACAATCTAACAACACATATTTCTATAACCATGCTAACTTTACAAAGCTTTTTCACTTGTTTTGTCTTATTTTATTCTCACAACAACCCTGGTAGATAAGTAGAACAAGTATTTTGAAGTTCATTTGACAGACAGAGAAACTGGAAACTGAGGATAAATAACCTGTCAGCTCATGGTGACTCTACAATAGAGGAGGATACAGAATCAAGTCTTTCAACTGACAGCCCTTTACCTCATCTGCCAGAACACACTGCCCTGCACTCTGTCCCAGAACAAATTCAGCATTTGAGCCTAGGTGAAGAGGCCAGCTCCTGCAAGTTGCTGTGTGACGTTGAGTCGGTTCTGACTCAGAGTGACCCTGTATAGGCTTTCCGAGGTGTGGCTAGTGGGTTTGAATCACCAATCTTGTGGTTCAAGCCGACCTCGAAGTCGAGTGCTTATCCTACAGTTCCACACCAGCAACTGTAAGAGCGCTCGGCGAAACCTCCACCACTTTCCCCTCTGCTCCTTTAGAATTCTCTGCCACATAAAAACAATAGGAAAAAGAAACGGTCTTTTTTTCCTGGTTCACTAGCTACATCTAATGAGAAAAACAATGTAAAAATAAATCCTTAGCTTAAGAGAGCCCAGGAGAAAGCAGCAAAGGATGCCAATTTGTCCTAAAAGACTTAAGCAGAGCCCTGAAAAACCAAAAAGAAAATATCACCTTACACTTGTACAAAATAACAGTGCAATCACACCAGGAATACTGCATTCACTTCTCACCATACCTCAAGGAAGACACTGTAGCTAGAAAAGGTCCAGAAAAGGACAAATAAGATGACCAATGGCTCAGAGTGGCTTTTACATGAAAATATCATTTTAAAATTATACTCTAAAAACTGAAATAACAAGGGGCAGGCTGGGGTGTGGGGGAGATACTGGGATGGAGTTTGGGTTACATTTAAGAGTAGTCTTCTAGCTTACAAAGCAGCATAATTAAAACATGAATTAAGTTATTAATTCCCCAAGAAGTTGTTAACTCCCAAAAAAGGCCAAACCAGAAATTAAAGACATTTCATAAAATGAATTCAAATTTAATTATTTTGGTTATTTAGTTGTTAAGTGCTGTCGAGTCAGTTCCAACCCATAGCAACCCTATACAAGGTTTCCGAGGAGCAGCTGGTGGGCTTGAACCTCCGACCTTATGGTTCAAACCAACTTTGCGATCCAGCTCATTAACCCACAACACCACCCCAGGACTCCGTGGTGTTTAATTAGGGCAACAGAAAGTCTTTCCCTAAGTATCTGATTTGTTATGAAGGTCATTATAATCTCTGAAATAAAAATCCTTGATATACATGGAAAACAAAACATGGGGGTGGAGAGAGAGTAAAATTAAGGTAATATGCCATCACTGGGCCTTTTTTTAGAACTATTAAGTTACCAGAAGGGAGAAAGACTTACCACCCGGTTCCACAGAGCACCCTGTTTACTTTGCATATCTGGAGTAAGTCGAATATACTGGGTCATCACCATAGCATTGCCCATCAGATTCCACAGTGAGGAACTGCTCGTGCCCACACCTATAGAGAGGAAGTAGATCAGTTCAGATCTTCACCATCAGTCCCTTCAGAAAGACACCAAAACTGGAGGCATGACTTTTGCCCCCTCTCATGTCCTTCAATCTGTCACTGCTCATACATGGTAAACCTTTATCATCTTTATAGCCTTGTTTCACAATGCCCTTTTCAGAAGTACCCAAAGCACATTCAAGCGATTGTTTTCACTTATCCATGCCACTGTAATCATAGCTCTAATCCATTCTTCCCATTTTATGAGAGTGAACTTTTAGCACCAAGGCAAAGAAAAACATTTCCTCAATGTTATCAAAAAAGACCTTGCCCTTCAAGCCGCTAGCATTTAGTCATATTCTTGCTTTAAACAATTCTTCGAGTGTGACATACCCGCTCCTTCATAAACCCCGTAATAGAATGTTGTGTCAGTATAATCGACAATATCAGCAAAGGAACCAGCCAGCACAAAGTGCATCTGCTAAGAGATAGATGCTCACCTTTCCTAATACTTTCTTGCACTTTGAGTTGATTTGTTAGTTTGTTTGCTGTCATTCCCACCCCCTCCCCACCCTACTGGGGATACAGATGTGTTAAGCCATGTGCACTGATTTGGGGATCGTTGTAGTTAAATATCCTCTTTACAGCTAAAAGTATAAATTTTCTGGTCAACGGACCCTAAGCAGAGCAAACTAACCGTTCTCTCTCATCACCAGAGTTCCGGACAGAATGTTACCCTTTCTCACTTGCGTCCAAGTTCCACCCCAGCTCAGCCACCTGCTTTATTTCTAGCACATCCACAGCTCTGTCCGGAGACCACTCCCCGTTGCACATTCCTGTCCAACTCCGAGCTCCCTCCTCAGTGTGCTGGCCTTGCACAGGTAGCAGCCGGAGGGCACCGGCTCAGCCTGCCGGACACTACCAGCGCTCAGACAAGCAGAGGCTGAGCTCTGCCCTGCAGTCCCCGAGTTCCCAAACGCGTCATGAGTGGGTCCCCCAAGCGCCGCGGGCAGGTTCCTTAGGGTCACAGGGCCCTTTGCCGCTCCCGCCTCTACCAAGGAGCGTAGATCCCGGAACCCTCCCCTACAAGACCACCTCGCTCCGGGCGCCTCACCCTGGTAGGGCTTCGACAGCGAATGCTCCCGTTTCAAGTACTCGAACGTCTGACCCGCCCCGACTTGCCGTGGCCCCTGCCCAGATCCCAACAAAAGAAGCAGGAGCAACATCTTGGACCCATTCCGAGCAGACAAATGATGTCCCCACCGCTGCCAGCACCCAGAGGGTCCCAAGCCGGCCGCCATCTTCCCCACTGCCGTCCCTTCACCAAAAGCCCGCCTTGTCGCCCAATCCATTGGCCGGCGAAACCGTCTGCCCTGCGTCCAAGTGGCTCTCGTTGAATCCCCACCTCCGTAGGTGATCACCTCACCGATTGGTTAACTTGTGTATCAGTTGCCCTGCCAACCCAGGTTAAGGGCGTAGCTGAATGCCCAGAGTCTTTTATTTGCGTTTGTCTTGTGCTAGGCGTGCCGGGATATGTAGTGGTTTTCATTTAGTTTGCGTTCCAGAGTAAATTTAAAGAGCTAAAATGTTTCTGACAGACACAATCAAACGTTCAATCCTCCTGCCACAGTACCCTCCTGACTGTGTGGGACTTCATCAGAACCGAAAAGAGAAATCGACCAATGCACAACTAAAGTAGATGGGAAATGCCTAAAATTTAAAAGAGTTGAACAACATTATCAACCAATACTGACCTGCTGCCATTTATCAAACACGCCAATCAACAACAACACAAGACACGTTCTTTTCCAAGTGCAAATGAAACCTTTACAGGTTAGTTTGAAGCAAGTCTGGGTCATAAAAAAAACCTCAACAAATTTAAAAGAACTGAAAGCTTGAACAAAGGATGTTCTTTAGTCAGAGTAGAATTAAACTAGAAATCGGTAACCGTAAAAAATCTTTTTAAAAAATCAAAATATTTGGAAATTAAACAACTCACTTTTAAGTAATTCCATGGGTCAGTGAAGGAATGGAAAGCGCTGGAGGACTTCATTAAGTAGATTAAGTGATTCCTTACCTAGGTAGTACACCAAGACACTGAGGTTCCACACTGGAAAAATTGAAGGTTTGGATTCCCCGCCCCTCACTAACTACAGTTATTTATTTTTTGTTTTTGTTTGTTTGTTTGGGGGGGGGGGAGTGTACACAAAACACTAGGGAATATATAATAACTTAAACAACCAAAGGGCACGTTCTGCAAGTCTGCTTCCTGGCCGCCAGCACACAGCCTTTCTCTTTCCATGAGGCACGCTAGCCTGCTCTGTCTCTCCATAGCATCATCTCTGCCTCCATCTCTGGTGTCGCTGCTTCTCTAGATAGGGTCCCAAATTCCTCTCATGCTCTTCTACCTTGATGGTCCTAGGGTCCTCTGTTCCTGGACTATAAGATTAACTACTTCCCACTCTATGTTACAGAACTTGTACCTTTACAGTTGTGACAGTTGCACTTAGTCATGATAAAAATTACTCACTATTGAACCATAAGGATCTTATCACCATCTCTTTTCACCAGACCTGTCTAGACAAGATAAAAACTATTCAGTGGGAATTCTACCTTGCCCCAAACACTCTGAAACTAAACTCCCTCTTAAAAACTTGTAAGCCAGTCACTTCATGTCTGTATCGCCCCTCATTTTAGGTTGCCAATGGCTAAGTTGCCTGTCCCTATCAACCCTGTAAACAGAGGGGATAGGATTGGTCCTTGATGTGACGACTCCTTCCCTCTCTGTTGGTATTTGGAGCTACTATATCCATAAGTATAGGTTAAGTTCATCAAATTGTAGCAATTTACACTTGTTTCCTTTATCCAAAAAAAATTTTTTTTTTATCTTCCTCTAGTTGAATTCTAATCATTAAGCCATCAAAGCTAGGTTAAATGGGTTCTATCTGCAAGTTTGGGCATTCATGTCCCTCTCCCTTCAGCTGGATGCTTTACTCTCAGCTCTAGCCCTCTGTGGCTATGTCCTTGTCCATGGGCTCAGGAATCCCAGGTGTTACCACACTTCGGACTAACCAGCCTTTCCTCTTCTCTCTTTCATGTCTAGGTCAACAGGAGTCTGTGGAATGTGGTTGAACTCAGCCTGTATCTTCATTGCTGCCTTTCTCCCTCTTCCACTCAACAGTAGATCAATGTGGTTGCCAGCAAGCTTATATGCCTGTTAGTGTGTTCCCTTTGAGTTTCAGTCTTATAGGGGAGTTTGTCCTGAAGGAACTTGATTGCTTGCCTTGATGGCTCACCAGTGAACAACTTGCTTGTTCTTGTATCATCCCTTCTTTTATTTTTCTCAGGAATTATAACACATGTCCTAATTGGTCTTCTGGCTACCTTCTTCATATGGACACCAAAATGACCTAACCAGCTAGCCATTTCCTTAGTGTCAGGGTTAGATGAGTCAATATAGGTAAACTCTTAAAGTAGTGCCTAGCATGTTGTTGTTACGGTTGACGTTGAGTCAAACCCGACTCATGACAACCTTTGTGTGCAGCGTAGAACTGTGCTCCCTAGGGTTGTCAAGGCTGTGATTTTTCAGGAGCAGATTCTGCCAAGTCTACCTTCTGAAGCACCTTTGGGTAGGTTCAAACCGCCAAACTTCTGGCTAGCAGTTGAGTACTTACTACTTATTATCTTTGTGTAACCCAAGCCCAAGTACTTCAGCACAATGTCATCATCAACTTTGTTATTAATGGAGTCCTTGACTTTCACACCCTTCTCCATTATTTCATCATCATTTGTGATGAAGAGATTCAAGCCCCTCAACTTGACATACAAAACCCTATAAATCTCCCCTCTCCCTTTCTCCACCCACTGCCTCCTGGAGGCCTTCCCTTCAGGCAGCAGTAAGTAGCCCTCTTTTGGGCTCTCAGTGTTCCCCATGCATATCTTTTATACAGCACTTGTCAGATCTGTACTTTTGTCTCCCCACTAGCCTTAGCCAAAGTTCATTCTTCCTTTCTTTCCTGAATATAAGCATATTTAATAAGAGAAACATGAATATGTTTTGTTTCATTAAAGCTGTCAGAGCCATTTATTTTTTCTGCACTCTACACAAAACCAATATACCATAAGACATTAGGAATTGTAGTGAATCTATTCTCAGGATTTTCCCATCATTCATAGGTTCCAATTACCATACGATAGAATCCAAACTAAGGTCCTTAGTATAGTACTCATAGTCCTTCACAACCAGATTCAAATCATGTCTATTATAATGTGTGTCACCTTGAATTATGTGGCTCTATTAGCAGATCATGTGTCTGTCTTCCCAAGCTTGGAGCTCCTAGGCCACATGAAGCAGGTCTTACTCATGTCCTATGTCAAACCCCACACCCCACCCCTTAACCCATCACCCAGCAGAAGGAGTTCTAACTGTTTTGAAGGAAATTCTTTCCATTGCATTGCTCTGTCAATTGGCTTTTTCATCAGATCTCTCACTGTGAAATTCATTATGATGAAGAAAAGAGGAATAATGGAGAAGGGTGTGAAAGACAAAATGCACTAGAAAATTGACCAGATGATTTTATTGTGGCTATGGCAATGTACCGACTCGAAGGCACTTAACAACAACAACAATGGCAATGTAGAATCAGCACTGGGTTGTGAACCACAAGGTCAGCAGTTCAAACCCACAAACTGTTCCTTGGAAACCCAATATAAGGTCGCTCTGGTAGCATAGTGGTTATGAATTGGGCTGCTAACCTCAAGGTCAGCAGTTCAAAACTACCTTGGGAGAAAGATGAACTTTCTGCTCCTGTAAAGATTTACAGCCTTGGAAACCCTATGTAGGGTGGCTATGAGTCGGAACCAACTCCACTACACACCATCACCATGAGTCAGAACCGACTTGACATTGCAGCATTGCAACATGAGTCCTGGCGTGGCGCTCTTGCATAAGCACTGTACTGCTAACCATAAGGTTGGTTGTTTCAACACACCAGTCGCTTCTTGGAAACCCTATACAGGGTCTCTGTGACTCAACAGCACTTAACAACAATAACAATTGCAATAGAGGGAGTATTGGTGTGATGTTGTAGGACAAGCATTGGACTGCTAACCACAAGGTTGGTGGTTCAAACCCACCAGCCCCTCCTCAGAAACCCTATACAGGGTTGCTATGAGTCAGAACCAACTTGACAGCACTTAACAACAGCAACAAGCTTGCAAAAGGGAAAAAGTTCATTAAAAAAGGAAAGTCTCACAGTTAAGTAAGAGGATTTAGGGTATTATGATGCTGTTGTTGTTATTAGCTGCTGTGGAGTCAATCTTGACTCATGATGATTTGATCAGCACAAAGGAACAAAAAACACTGCCCAGTCCTGAGCCTTCCCCATGAGCAGTTGTAGATTAAATCATTGTGATCTAGTGGCTGGTTTTCAGAAGTAAGTCACCAGGCCTTTCTTCTTACTCTGTTTCAGTCTGGAATTCCACTGAAACCAGTTCAGCATCATAGCAACATGCAAGCCTCCACTGCCAGTCAGGTGGTGGAAGTACCTGAATTGAATTGTCTGGAAATCCAATGTGGGTCATCTGCATGGAAGGCTTTATACTGGCAGGTAAACAAGGGAGCCATTATCAGGAAGGGTTGAGAAGGGTCTTATCTAAGGCTTTGAGGAAGGAGTGTTTTAGAACAGAGGTCCTTTGAAGTTAGCTGTCTCTGAGAACATAAAAGTGTTGAGGGGAAAAATAAAAGAATGAAGAGATTTGTTTACTGTGGTTGCTTTTCAGGAGCACATGGCTCACAAAGTCTAACATTACCAGGGAAAAGAGAGGGAAAGAGCAAAAGAAACTGTGCACACACAAAGATACTGTCTGAAAGTCAGGCAAGGTCTTGACTACCATCCTTTCAGTTGCCTGCTATTCTCCCTCCTTTCTCCATAGACAAATCGCCCATGATCTGAACCAGATCATCAAGAGAGTTGCTGTTGTTAAGTGCCATCGAGTCGGTTCCAACCCATAGCAACCCTGAACAGGGTTTCTGAGGCTGTAAATCTTTACGGGAGCAGAAGGCCTCATCTTTCTCCCGCAGAGCAGCTGGTAGTTTCGAACTGCTGACCTTGTGGATGGCAGCCCGATTCATAACCACTGCGCTACCAGAGCTCCTATCAAGAGATTTAGGGATGCACAATCCCAGAGGGACCACTGCCTCCATCCTTGGCCCCATCCCTTCTCCTTCCTCTGCCTTTCACTTCGATACCCCACCATTCCATTAGGGCTGAAAGCAGTATCACTCCCAAAGTCAGGTGAAGCCACCCCTCCCTCTCAATGGA